TTTCGCCTCTTCTTCAACCGTTCTTCTTCAACCGTTCTTCTTCAACCGTTCTTCTCCATGTCTTCCTTGGCCGGCCCACCCTCCTTTTTCCCTGGGGATTCCAGTCTAAAGCATGCCTTGCGATGTTTTCTTTTTCCTTTCTTAATGTGTGTCCGATCCATCCCCATTTTCCGGCCTTGACATCTGTCTCTATTGGCTGTTGCTTTAAAGTTCGCCACAGGTCTTTGTTTGATATTTTGTCTGGCCATCTTATTTTAAGTATGTGTCGTAAGCATTTGTTTATGAATGCCTGTAGCTTATCAGTATTTGTCTTCTTGACCCTCCAAGTCTCCGAGCCATAGAGCAGCACTGCCTTGACATTTGAGTTGAAAATCCCAATTTTGCTCCGGAGTGACAGGGCCGTGGACCTCCACATCGGGCGCAGTGGCCTACCTAATTACAATACTATTATCTGATACTGGACTGAGTTTAGTTAAATTTAGAAGCAGATTGTGTTTGTGACATATACTTTTACAGATATAACCTCTCAAACATAGCACTTTTAAAGTTTTTAGGGTGTTGGAAAAAAGTTAAAAACCAATTTTTTAAAACGTCATAACTTTTTTACTACTTAAGATATATGAACAAATTTAGTGCCCACTATTTTAGAATCATGAGTTCTTGACATAGCAACTTTCAAAAAAGCTCTGGGACCGTTTAAAAAAACCAGTTAGACACCCCTAATCAAATCCAGTGTTGTAGGTATTTTGTTAATTTTTTTTTTAATCAAAGACGACGTTAGAAAAAACCGTCTTTATTCGTGAATGGGAATACCCGCAGGTTATTATTTGTGCCCATTCGTTTTTGTCTTTTTAGCGCAATTTCCATTCTGGAGAATTGCGTTTATTAACTCGTCTTTTCTGGGAATGTGTGTCCGGGCTTTAAGTCGTATCTCCTCCTCAACGAAGCAATATCGAGGACTAGTTCCAAAAGCAATTATGTTAAGCAAGTTACGAGGATGAACATAGGCCATAAAAATTCCGGGTTTCTTTCATGGATTTCCCGGAAAAGCCAAAAAACCTCGAAAAAATGCAGTTTTTTGCCCACATCTCGGCAACCAGACCACTTAGCGACTTGAAACATGTACCAATCGATTCCTGCCATAATTTAGAACAATATTGCCGAAGAAAGTTTTCAAAAATATCCTTTCGTTCGGTCACAAAAAAATTTTTTAATTAATTAAAATTTGGACCGAATTAGTAGGCATTTTATCCAACCACACCACACGCGTCATCACGTTCAATAGCTGCGCCATCACGTTCAATGGCTGCGACATCACGTTCGGTAGCTAGGCGCGCAATGGTTTTTAGTCATGTTACTCTTTTGTAAATAAAACATGTAAAATACTGAAAAAAAATTTAATAAAAAACGTTTTAATAACTAACCAATGGTTTTACTAACCCTGCTCTTGATTTACGCTACGACAGAGCTATTTTTAGATAACATAAGGAAATTACGCTAAAATTGTCACTAGACTTTTTTTAATTACTTGTTTTGCACAGGAAGCGGAATTTATTTTTGTCAGTCGCACCAAACATGATGAACATCGTCTTTTTTTACGTCACCATAGTGCGTAGCTTTTTACAACCTTTTTTAACTCACTTCCTCTGTCTGTCTAGATCGAAACGCCCCAGCGAAATTGCAGGCACTTCTAACTGACAGATAAGGTTTGTAGTTGGAACGTGGGTCAAGACTTGAAGACAATGCAACATGACATTAAATTTGACTTAATTGGATGCCTAATTAATTTTTTATGAAATAATTAAAATTTTGACCGAATCAGTAGGCAGTTCTATCCACACACGTCATCACAGCAAAAGCGCGTCATTACGTTCAATATGCACGCAATGGTTTTTAGTCATGTATCTCTATCTATATACTACTGAAACTCAATTTTGTTTACATGTTTGAATATTTTTTTTTTTGTATTTTTGTTTGTCTGATAGAATACTGGAGAGGATCTGCTCTATGTGGAGAGCTGTAAAATAGTATGTAGGTAGAGAACAATTGTTTTTCAGACAGACTGTTAATCACAAATTTAATTAAAGACGTTAATTAATTAATTGATTTAATCATAGGTAGATTAACCACATTAATTAAAAAATTTTCAAACAATGGCTTTACCTTGACTGAATAGTGACGTCACATAATTTGTTTACTTTTTAGTACAATAAAATGGCGGCTACCATCATGGACTTTGTGGCCCATTCAGAAGTTCAACGCGTTCTAAAGCTAATTTTTTGTCAGCCATAACTTTAACAATAAGTCCGTTTGCTGTTTTAATTACGTTCCAACACTTATATAAATTTTTAACAGTCTTTTTCATTTAGTTTTACAATAAATTTCTCTAGCTCTACAATCTGTCCAAGAAAGTTATCTATTTATTTATAGATCTAAATATCAGGCGGCCAAGAAAGTTATTTATAGATCTAGATCTAGAAATTAGATACAAACCAAAGATTAATACATTTTTTCAGTCCTTAAATACTTGATATAAATCTTTGTGATTTATCTATCTAGATCTATCTAGCTAGAATAGGTCTAATGATTAGATCTAGATCTAACAAGAGTTACGCAAAAACTAGACTTAAGACTTAAGCAAGCGAGTCGTAGAATCTAGATCTAGATAATTCTATCTAGATAATTTCAGACCTTAATTATTTTATATAAATCTTTGTTTGTTTAGCTATGTAATTTGCTAATTAAGGATAAAATTTAATTTTAAAGTTACTACTACTAGACTTAGATCTAGATCTATGCGCGTAAATCAAGTTGCATAAGGAGACTCAAAGTATTAAACTATACTATAAAAATTCATCAGTGACGTCACGAGTTAAATAGCTAAGTTGTTAGTGTAATCGGCTTTCATGCGGGTGGCACGGGTTCTAGACCAAAACGTCAATGTTTAAAAAAAAAACTCCATTTTTTTTTTAAATTTTTTACATGTGAATGATAAAGTTGCCTATCTGAACTTCGCGGGATACAGGGCAGGTGAAGTAGAGTTTTAGATGTGAATGATAAAGTTGCCTATCTGAACTTCGCGGGATACAGGGCAGGTGAAGTAGAGTTCATCTGTTTCTTTGTCCTAAGCATATGAAGGGGTAGTGTGGTCAGAGACATGCTCGGCTGGAATCGTTTTTTTAAACGATAAAAACATGTTGTCTGAGACTTGGCGCGGTGTTTTTAAAAGATAAAAAACATCTTTTTGAATGTAGGGTCTGGTTTTTTGTGACGATAAGTGACAGACGTGATGTTTTTTTATGGATGATCCCCGAAACCCACAGTTATCCAAGGGATGACGGGTAGTCTAGTTGTAAATAAAAACATGTAAAGTACTAAAAAAAATTCATAAAAACCGTTTTAATAAACAGCTTTTATGTAAAAATGCACTGAAAAGGAGAAAATAAATTATACACTACTATTTAAATAACTATAAAGAAAAGCATGGGTCACTTTAGTATCTATTGGATACCTTTACTAATATTTAGGAAGAGACCCACGCTTTTCTTATAGTTTTTTAATTAAATAGTAGTATAGAATTTATTTTCTCCTTTTTATTTTAAGCATTCGTTTTAACAGTATATTTAGCAGTGTAAAGTCTTACTACGTTCTCGATTGTAAAGGCAAGATCGAAGAAACAATTTCTTTTAAGAACTATAGTTCAAAGTTTCTATCACATGACATTCCTTTACACTACAAATATTTTTTTAAAATCAATAACAGTTTAGAAGTGAGCTCCTAAATGTCCTCTATGTTAACTTCTATCTTTCCGTTTGCGTATAAGGTTGGGGTATTATAGTCGTTCACTAAATTGAATCAGGCGCGTCCGCAGGCACCCCGGCATGGTACTCTTTGGCGCCCAGTGAGCGCTATGGTGCATAATAACGTTTTAAACAGTGCGATAGACTATGGATAAGAAAGGTTACTATAGTCTATAACTGAAACGAATCCGGGCGTCATCCGGCGCCCCGACAGGGTGCTATTTGGCTCCCCGGGCGTTCCCGTGTTCGCTATGGCGCCTACTTTCGTTTAAGTGAGCGCATAAGACTAAGAATAAGTTGGGGTACTATAGTCGTTTTATCATCATCATCATTCCTTTGTGGCCCCTGGGGAGCAAAGGGCTGCAACCACACATTTCAAGCGGACTCGGTTTTGGGCTGCCCCCTTTATCTGTGCCCATGTGAGCCTAGCTGGTATCGCCTCTTCCTCAACCGTTCTCTTCCATGTTTTCCTTGGCCGGCCCACCCTCCTTTTTCCCTGGGGATTCTAGTCCAAAGCTTGTTTTGTGATGTTTTCTTTTTCTCTTCTTAACGTGTGTCTGATCCATCCCCATTTACGGGCCTTGATATCTTTCTCTATTGGCTGTTGCTTTAAAATTTGCCACAGGTCTTCGTCGTTTACTAAGTTGAATCAGGCGGTTCCGCCGGCGCCCCGGGCTAGACTATGAGCAGTATGCTTTTATGTTTGCATTTAAGTCTGTGTTTATGTTTGCGTTTATTTGCATTATTTTGAATTAACTTTTGCGTTCATGTTTGCGGTTGTGTTTCTATTTGTATTTGTGTTTACTTTTTTGTTTGTGTTTTCTTTGGGTTTGCGTTTGTGGTTGGTTTTGTATTTGTTTGCGTGTGTTTATTTGTTTGCGATTCGGTTTATGTTTGCGTTTTTGTTTGTATTTGTGCCTGCGTTATATTTGCGTTATTTGTGTTTGATTTTGGTTGGTTGTGGTCAGGGTTAATTCGAAAAGTAATATATTTCCTAAACCCGAACAATGCCGAGTATATATGCTGATTACTAAACTTTTCATATAGTTTTTTTTCCAGAGAGGTCAGGGTCTTGCCGGGACGACTAGAATATATATATATATATATATATATATATATATATATATATATATATATATATATATATATTCTCGATTCCTAGCTATGCCACTATATCAAGCTAATTTCATTATTTTGCAGTGGTTTTCTACAGGCCCATGTGTCCTATCTAGATGATGAGTGTCAAACTTGTCTGCTCTTGCTGTCTGTAGACATTGAGGCATTTTACATTCTGTCAGACTGCAAAGCTAAAATCAAAGAGGTTTGTATATAATATATTAATCAATAATTTATTATTGCTTTGCTTTTCTTCTAACAGTATCCCAAATGCATGTACACACATATATCCCAATATGCATATATAAAAATAAATATATATATAGAGAGAGGTATACATTTGTATGTATATATTTATATGTATAAATGCGTGTGTATATATATATATATATATATATATATATATATATATATATATATATATATATATATATATATATATAAATATATATACACATACATACACACACATTCGTTGTGGTATATTAGGGAACTACAGACATGGCTACCGCACAGCCAAAACCGAAATGGTTTAGCGTTTTCGTGAATAAGTCCATTTGTTTGTGAATAGGTGTTGGTTCATGAAATAAAAAAAAAATCATTCAGGCACTAAAAAAGAAGCCATAGTAGCAGTGTAGGTATGGCAAAATGGTTGCATCTTTTATGCCAATAGTGGTCATATGATTCATTTGTCTGGAGCCTACGTGACGGAACTCATTTTGTAGGGAGCCAATATGTCTGGAGCCGATTAGTCGGGAGCCATGTCCTTAGCCTATTTGTCGGGAGCCAGTATGTTGGGAGTCTATTTGTCTGGATTCGAAATGTCGCGAGCCCATTTATCGTTAGCCTATATGTCGCGAGTCTATATGACGGGAGGCAATGTGTCGGGTCTTTATTTGACTGGGTCGATTTGACGGGGTCATATTCACGGTGCCGTTTAGTCCCGGGCCGTTTTGATGGTGTACCATATGTGTGTATGTACATATTGTATGTATATATATAATATGTATATTTTAAGGGGGGCGTGGCTTAGTGATAAAGCGCTTGACTGCTAATCTGAAAGTCTCAAAGTTATTATCGGTTTTCTTATTAGTAAAATGTCCTTACGAGTCCACCCAGCTCTGATGTGCATCTCAGGTAACTGAGCATAGTGCTGACCATAGTATCTCCCTATATGTTGAGGTCATTGAACCAGTTGAAAGTTACTTTATCTGCTCCGTGTGTCTTGGGCACACGTCGGAAAAGATTATATATGGATGTATGTATAAATGAATGTACGTACCGCGTCAAAATGGCCAATGACAAAACTGCCCCGTCGTCATATAGGCTCCCGACAAAAGGGCTCCAGTCAATAAACCTCCCGACTAACAGGCTCCGCGACAAAGTATCACAGCAAAACGTCCTAATTGAATATGACACTTGCCAGTGGGACCCCTTCATCATTACTATTTTTAAGAGTTAGCTTGCTATGTAATACAAAGTATGCTACGCTTGTTCGGCAGGCCTTACGGTTCGTCCATAAATGACGTCACACTCGTAGGGGGGAGGGGGATCCATAATTTTAAGACGGTGTGTGATGAGGTGGGGTTCAGATGGCGTGACGACACACTTTTGCATTAAAAAAAAAATACAATGTTAGAAAACGAATTTTAGCCGTTAATTCGCGTTTTAGAAAACTGTTTTAATAAATTGTAATAGGATTGATTAAAATACTCCAGTTCAGACAAGATTTCGGAAAATATGTTATTTTAAGAAAAATTCAACTGCAATTTTGAACGGGGGGGGGGTGTAGGCTGAGGTGTGACGTCATTTTAGAGGGGGGTGCTTGGCTCTATGTGACGGAGAGAGGGGGGGGTAAAATCATTAAAACCAGCGTGACGTCATTTATGGAGTACCCTTTATTTTTAGACTTTTATTTAGTATAAGAAATAGTATGTTTTAAATTTAAAGGTCATCTGATTTCCATAAATTAGCCGGTTGTAGGCTGTTCCAACTCAGCGTGCGGGAAGAGAGGGTCATGCTGTACTTTCCTACCTGCAGTATGCTTGTAGGTTATCAGAACAAGATGTTATCCTGTAAACATCATGTATATCAAACATTTAAACTTCTGTGCTCACTTTAAGCAACATGTCTTTACATTATCAACATTTTAAAATTGGTGGAATGTAGCTGTTAGGGCTCGATTTTTTTGTGAATTGCTGTTTGTAAATGACAAAAAATTTCATCAAGGCATTTAAAATAGGAAGTTGGAGGTAAGACAAAATGGTTACTTTTATGCCAATAATGGTCATATTATTCTTATGTCGGGAGCCAATATGTCCTGAGACTATTTGTTGGGACCAATATGTCGGAAGTCCTTTTGTTGGGAGCCTATATGAATAGGTCGCTGTCAATGTGACGTGGCTATTTTGACAAGGTCATTTGTCCGTGGTCGATTTGACTGAGCTGTTTTGACTGTGCACCAAGTATGTATATATATGCCTTTAAAAAAGGAACTTTTTAAAAATGCTCATATTTTTGAAGTTATCTTTTTTTTTTATAGAGATTACAGAGATATAATGCACTATCTGCTATAGGCAATTCTTTGAGGCGAAATTCCTACTCCATACAGCAGTGTAGCATTAGTGATTTACGCCATTTTTTATACAAGGCTCGTAGTACTGCTCAGTACACAAGTCCTGAATTGGAAGCCCCATATAACACTAAGGAAGAGCAAGAAAGACTTTTTGGGCTGTATTATTACCTTCATGACAGAATTCATACATCAGGGCGACCACTGAAAATATTATTTCATGTTGGGCCATATGAAACTTTATTAGGTTGGGTAAGTAATATTTGCAAACATAGCTGGTGTGGTTTAAACTGTGTCCCTCTACTCTAATAAATTATCTACAACAAAAACTAAATTATTTTGTTAGAATCTTCAAATAAAAAAAAATTATTCATGTCCATATTTCAGGATGGCTTAAAAGTTTAAATTTTTGGTATGCCTACATCTATGCCTAACTTCAATTTAATTAAAATTTAACATACTGCCTACCCTGTTTAAGAGTATTGTAGCATTTAAGTTAAATTATAATAAGTGAAGTTTAGTTAAATTTTATTATGGTTTGTGATAAAGTTTAGCATTAAGAATGCAACGAGCAAGTGAGTTTAAGTGACTAAGTGACCAAAAGAGCTAAGTAAATTAACAAAGTGAATCTCCAACACCCAACCTCTAAATAAACTGTACACCTTTACCAGCATCCTCTGTTAGCTCAGACTGCAAATATACTTAATAATATTAGTTTTTTCTTTACATTCTTTTTTTAAAAATAATTTTAGGCACTATTTATTGTTTATATAAACATTATTTTTTTTTAAAAAAACGTAACAAAAACAAAAGATATGAGTGGCAATTAAGTGGGTGAAACAGGTTAAAGGCATTTCAATTAATTTTAATGGAAACATTGTTTTGCAAATAATATGACATAAAGCAAGGTTACAGAACAAATTTAATTCACAAATTCGTTTGTACAAGACTAGTTGGAGAGAAGCTAAAGAAATATGAGGAATTATGTTAAGGAAATAGTGGGCAGTAATTACTTAAAATGTTTAATAATAATGCCAGGGGAGGTAATTTGTTTAAACATTGAAAGTACACTAATAGAAAAAAATGTGAATACAAATTCCGCGGACTTCCATGAGTGCATTGTTGTTGAAATAATATAATTAGCATGGATTGATAAATGGTAGGTAAAACACGGTATGCATCTGGATTGCGTTTTCTGTTTTTGCGTTGTGTTTGCATTAGTGTTTTCTTTTGTTTTTGTGTTTTGTTTCCATTGTGTTTGTGTTTTCTTTGTGTTGTGTTGGTGTTTTGTTCTGTTCCCAAGTTGGTACATTTAACAAAGATTCGCCGTTGGGAGCAGGGGTATGCAGCTAGTCTATAATATAACGCTGCTGGTAGTGTGTCAGTGATTCCGTCATCGCTATAGATTTTGGAAGGCTCTCTCTGGGCACGGACGGCTCGGAAAACATTTTTTTTTTGTTAACATGACGCCTAGGGTTCGGGGAGGAGAGATGTCTTGGCGGACGTTTTTTTTTTCTTACCGTAGCTTCATTTTTGTGAATATCCATATTCGCACCAAAGTGCTACCGACACCCGCGTGCAGCGCGGTGCGCTGAAGGAATATCTGCCCCAATGCGGCGTCCCCCATCCGCGCGCAGAGCGGTTAACTGAGGTAATATCCACACCGCAGCGAAGCACGGGTATAAGCTACACGCGCACAGCGCGGTGCGCTGAAGGAATATTCGCCCCAACGCAGGGACCCGCACCGCGCTCAACGCGGTAAACTATGAGGTAATATCCATATTCACACTGTGGCGCAGCGCTGAAGGAATAAAATGATTCACCGTTGGGAGCACGGGTATGCTGCTAGTCTATAATATAAGTGTGTCAGTCAGTCATTCCGTCATCGCTATAGATTTCGGAACCATAAAATTAAACATCACATGCCACGTGCATCGCAGGTTTATTTATATAAGGACTTAAAATGTGTTCCTAAATGGCAGTTTTTACTCTTTCGAGAATATTAAATGCACGTACATTGCTAAAACATATTGATTGAACGAATATTATCTTCGCTCAGCTTCTTAGGGGAAAAAAAAGGATACATTTTAATAACATTAGGGTAAAAAAAAGTAAAAAAAAATTAAATGGTTTAATAATTATACCCGGGGAGGTAATTTTAAAAAGAAATTCAACTCCCGCTATTAAATAAAAATGTTAATGCAAATTACTAGGACGTCCATGGGGGCATTTTTGTTGGAATAATATAGTTAGCATGATTGGATTAAGTGCAATATGCTAGGTAAAAAAACGGTTATTTTTATTACTGCCTTTTTTTTATACACTGGACTAATTATTATTTGTGATCAATAACAGTTTAGAAGCCGCTCCTAAATGTTATCTATGTTTACTTCTAACTTTCTGTTTGCGGACAAGCTGGGGTTTAAGTCGTACACTTAATTGAATCAGGCGCGTCCGCCGGGGCAGGGTTCGGTTTGGCACCTTTCGTTTTAAAAAGTGGGATAAGCTGTGGGTAAGTAAGGTTTATTTGGCGCCCCAGGCCTTCCCGTGAGCGCATAGGCGCCCACGTTCCTTTAAGTGAGCGCAAGAGACTATGGATAAGTTGGGGTATTTACTAAGTTGAATCAGTTCCGCCAGCGCCCCGGCAGGGAGAGATTTGGCGCCCCGGGCTAGATTGCGAGCACTAATGGTTTATCTTTGCTTTTAATTTGTGTTTACCCAGCAATATTCACAACATCTTCCCAAAGTTTCATGGCGATCGTGTGAACGGTGTCACTGCAATTCACTTTTATTATTTTTATATACCGTTTATAGAGAAAAATCGCACCCTCCTGTGGCGCCGCCCTTGCGAAATTTAAAAAGATTATTTTGCAGAAACCTCCCTTGGAGTTTTCTAATCAACTCACCAAAGTTTCATGGTGATCGGATAAAAGGTGTCAAACAGCAATCGACTTATATTTTTATATACCTTATATTGAGAAAAAACAATTCGCGCCCTGCCGGGGCGCCACCCCTTCGAATTTGATTTTTTTCCCTGCAGCAACCTTCCCAGGAATATTTTCAACAACTTCCCAAAGACTCATGGCGATCAGATGAAAGGTGTAGTAACGCATAAAGGACAGACAGACAGACACACATACATTGCTTTGTATGTATATATATATATATATATATATATATATATATATATATATATATATATATATGTATATATATATATATATATATGTATATATATATATATGTATATATATATATATATGTATATATATATATGTATATATATATATATATGTATATATATATATATATGTATATATATATATATATGTATATATATATATATATGTATATATATATATATATGTATATATATATATCAGAGGCGTATCCAGGTTTTCGTTGTAGGGGGAGCGAAAAGAGCAAAAAAAGGCGCCGAATATTTAGCACGTTCTATATACGTGTATTATATATATATATATATATATATATATATATATATATATATATATATATACATATATATATATATAATTACTAGCTGTATGTCATTACTTCGCTATGATGTAAAATAAATTGAAAGTAGCGCTCTGAAGAAATAAGAAAAAACACACAATGTAGGCCGACAAAACAAAAATTGTATCAATGTAAACAATATATATATATATATATATATATATATATATATATATATATATATACTACAACCAAAAACAATGAACGTAACACAATCTGTTTTGTAATTCTTGTAAACAAATTTCTTACATAATAATTCCTGGGAAATTATTTAAGATAATTGAAATAGGGGAAATAATCACTCTCTTAATATAAATATGTATATATCTACACATTTAATTATAAATGTCAAAATAAATAAATAATGACTTTAGAATATAATGAAATTGTTTAACACTATTCATGTTTACAAAAAGTTTTTGTCTATAATCAAAATTTAATATATCGTCATCATAAATGCTAAAGTATTACAGCATAATCAGAGTGAACATAGCGTCAGTTTTTAGATGACTGTTCTAAACATAGATATTACACAAATATATATTACACAAATAGATTTAAATAAGTAGCAGTGGTATTATGACAATATTTTTTTACAGAAGGGTCCATGGGGGAGGGGGGATTGTAACTGTTTCATATAATTTGTAATCGTAATCACTATCGCCCAAACTGTAAGAATACTACTACTTCATCGTGATGACGTTGTTGAACTTGTCAAAATTTCCCCACCACTAAGCAGTAAATTTAAATAGAGGTGCCACATCAGTTGTATTTGTTTCTGTATGGTATTTTTTTCAAAAATTAATGACACGATTCAAACTGTATATATAAAGTATATATAAAGTAATTATGTGTGAAGTTTTATGTATAACATTTTCTAATGCAATTATTCGTAAGCACATACATTATACAGTTGCCCTAAACTTAACACCCCTCTTGCCAAGTGGTACTACCGTAGAGGTTTTTTAAACATTGCAATGCATCGTAATGGTTATTTTTTAGAATGGGAAACTGATGCAGATGTTAATACGTGTTGTAAACGTAGACACTACTAGACTAGTACAATAATGCTTAATTGCTGCATGAAAAGAAATCTTGTCATTTACATAGATGTGCCGACCAAAAATATTTTTTAACAAATATCATTGTTTAAAAATTTGAGTTTAAAAAGTTTCCAAAAAGGCGCCACTTTGATGAAAATGGCCAGAGGGGGAGCGGCTGCTCCCCCTGCTCCCCCCCTGCGTACGCTACTGATATATATATGTATATATATATATATATATATATGTATATATGTATATATATATATATGTATATATGTATATATATATATATGTATATATGTATATATATATATATGTATATATATATATATATATGTATATATATATATATATATATATATGTATATATATATATATATATATATATGTATGTATATATATGTATATATATATATATATGTATATATATATATGTATATATATATATGTATATATATATATATATATATGTATATATATGTATATATATGTATATATATATATATATATATACGAGCCGACCCACGGCGTATCATACGCCGTCATTTAATTGTTTTATTTTCTACTTTTCAGTAATTCATAATTTGTGAATTCGACAGTACTAACGCTGCCACTGAAAATATTTGCTTTAAAACACTACAGTAGCTCGTTAAGGACGATAACCCAATCTCTTCCCCCCCCCCCCCCCACCCC